GAAATGTGGGAGCCACTGTAGATTTCACCTACAGTTTAACTTCTCAGTGAGAGCTCTGTGGTCTAGCCATTGGGTTGAGCAGCAGAGGGATCAGGCCCTATGAATTTGGCATCCAAGGAGCAGTGAGCTACTTTTGCTGGACAAGTGGCTTGTCCAGTAAAAAGTGGGTGAAACTCACTATTCTTCAATGGAGGGGGATTGCTTTTGAAGACCAAAGTGATCAAATTGGGTTTGATGGTTTTCACTCCATCTGCTATTACCCTTCAAGGAGGAGCTTGCTATAGTCACCCTTAGAAGTGGATAATGCAGCTATTCTAACAGCTCCATCCCTAACAGCCAAGGCGAGCAGATGCACTTCACCATATTGCCCCTGCCAGTGTGCAGGCTCCTGGGGTGTTTTTTCCTAGTCCTGCTTCTTGTGTTCCCCCAGCCCATCCATCTTGATGCTCCTTTTGTTGTGTTTTACCCATTCCTTGGTTTGCTAAAGCCTGCATCATCCAATACAGTTTGTTCTTTTTCTTCTCTCAGTTTCCCAGTGACTTTATCCTTATGACCACTGACTTCTGCAATCTCGCATCCCACATGTACTTAGAAACTTCTGAAAAACATTACTGTTTGCTGTATAACCAGCAGAAATAAGTTTTTTTTTTTTGGAAGGAAACACCTCAAAGACAGAAATGAAACATGCATTTGATGATCATGTTTCCTGGCTAGCCAGAAAAGGACAGCCTTTACCTATTGAAGTTTCTCATCCAAATGCAGGAACCACAATGATGCAGAGGCGGTGCCATATGTAAGAGTAATTTTAGAGTAAGAGGATTGGTTATAAGCCCAAGTTTCCCTGTGCTGTTTTGATTACTTGTTCGCATCACAAAATGTTCATCTGTTTTTCTCCAAAGGAGCTTCTGATTGAAAACCAGGCAATATTGCAAAGAGTGATGAGGGACCACAAATGGCTTTCTCTGAATTAGCCAGGGTGCTCCACCATAGACAGGTTTGCAGAGAGTGGGGCACTGTGCCCATCTACAAGCCACTGCCCTTTATATTTTGCCTTACTCTTAGCCTTTTGACAGGTTAAAAAAATGGGGGTGGGGAAGAAAGGAGGAAATAACAGCAAACCCAGAAGTTTAGCTTCAGCTGATAAAAAGAGATTAATTTTCTTTTTTTTTTTATGATCTCACAAAGGAGTTAGGCTAAATTTAATTGAGGCTAGAGAGATAGGGCTGGAACAGATGAGGAAAAGGGAACTTGCTGAAAACATTGTCAAGGCACAGATAGCAAAAATGAGTGGCAGCAAATGCGTAACAGAAAATGAGAGGAGGAGAATGAGAAAGAGAAAAGGCTAATGGGGAAACAATTAGAAAATACTACCACCATGAAAACAAATGCATTAGAGGGTAGCTGAGAAGGACCTATGTGCCAGATTATAGTGAGCAATTAAGCAATTGAGTTATGGTAGTGTGGTCTTCATGCTCCCAAACTGCCCATAAGAAGAGTCTGCTTCTTAAACTTATTCCTTGAGATTCACATCATCTTCAGCTGTCACCAGCACTGGGCAACGTGGCTACTGAAGCAGATATTCTTGGTTTGTGTGTCACTCAGTCCATCCCTGCCATAAGCCTGACAGACCATGAGAGCTGAGTGGGACCAAGGCATGTTACCTGGGAGCTTAAGCAACAACTAGGGAGTTTCCAGGACAGGAATGATAATAATCTGGTCCATACCAGGATTTTTTTTTTTTGCTTTGAATTAGTATGGAGGTGATGTCCAGGGTCTGATGGTGTTTCATGCAGCAGGATGCTCTTTCATATGAGATGTCAAGCCAGGGGCTAAAAAACATGTCAGAATAAAGCTCCAGGATGCTTTTAGCAATGGGTAAGGTATAGTCATCTTTGAATGTAATAACTCTGCAGAGTGCAGAGTTGTCATATTTGGCTCTTAAGGCTCAGTGCCCTCATTGCTTTCTGCTCCTAAAACCTAGATAGCTGCCTAAGTTTTATTGCTGTGTTTTACATTTCTGAAGGACGTGGGAGGAGGAGGCAGCAGTGTAGGTGAATCTTACTGCTCGAGTGGCAGTGTTTTCTAGGTCCATCAGGGCTGGTGTGGGTGAGGGAAGCCCAAGGTGGTGGGAGCATGGTTTGCGTACCTTTTGCCCTCACCCGTTGTGGCTGGCTTCCTCTCCAGCCCTGTGGAGAAGACCTGCATTTCACTTCTTGCTTTCAGAATGACGCTCAGCAGTGTTAATGTAAGGTCAGGCGTCAGTCATATAGGGGAAGGAAGTCATGTCGTTGCAGCTCAGTCCTGGATGCTTGTCCATCTTCAGGGTGCTTCTGCCATGCTCCCATTTACCTCATTAAAAGCCAGTCATGATGGCTTTCACTGGTATCAGCTGTCTAGCGCAACAGGCTCACCTTCCAGTGGTAGGAATCGCTAAAGTGCTGTGTGCACACTGAGTGGTCAGACTGCACAGTGAGGAAGAGCCACAAGTGTTAGAACCAATGTTTGGCACTTACTGGTTCCTCTCCCACACAAGAAGTGATGGAGGTATAAGATGACCACAGGTTGTCTATCTGCTGGTTTTGGGTCAGACATTGGGATTTTAAGTAGAAATGACTCAAGTAGGAAATCTGTTACCTGGAGTGAACTTACTGGGCTGGAATAAGCACACATACATATACATCAGTTTTAACAGTCATTGCTGTTAGCTGGAGGTATGGTCCCCACATTCCATGTGGAGACCTTGCTCCTTTCCCCAAGACTGACTCAGCATTGCTAACAGCAAATAGCTAGGACAAGGTTATAAATGCAGGAACCCACAGGACTACTTTTTCTGGTTTATACCCAAGAGATTTCATTTGCTTCTTTGATAAAGGACTTAACTGAATTTGCTCCACCATGAAGCATGTAAGATGCAGATGTTTTGCCAGTCAGGATGAGCTGGCAAAACAGCTCTGCTCCTAAGTCCCAACAGCTTACTCTTGTAAGCTTTTCTGGTGATCTGTGAGCCCAACTTAGGAGAAAAGGGAAATGAAGTGTGATTTCTGTTTTGTTTTCTCTAGACAGACAGTCTAGACTATCAGGTAGGTAGGCTATCAGATATGCTGCCTTCTTGCCTAGGTGTTCCATATAATCCTGGGGTCTGGTTGAAGAGCTCGTTGTTTGTTTCTCTGAGAAGCATGTGTACACAGAAGTCTTAGCTGTGTGGCACCAAGAATATGCCCAGGTAGACTAGGAGTGAGCCTATGGCTGCATTCCTGCCTTGTTCAATGAACTGTATGTGGCTGCACTTCTCAGCTTTGGAAGCAATTCAAATAGAAGGTTGCATGCGTGACCACAGAGCTGTGTCAGAATAGTTAGAGTGTTGTAGGATTGTGGACTTTGGTAATGATTTCACTCCAAGGTGGTCTTCACCTTTCTTCTGTCCCCTTTCCTCTTCCCCCTCTTCTCAGAAAATTGTTCACACAAGCTAATACAGCCCTTAGCTGCCATGCTCAGCAGAGCTACAGCTCTCTCTTGCATCTCATCCCTGGTATATTGCGCTTGCTGCAGTTACAGACCACCTCTTTGCAAATCCAGTTGCCTCTCTGCATTGTCCCGTTGTTCCCAGATGGAAGGGCTTTTCTGCAATGGCACTCTGCTACATGACCTGGTTCTGTCGCTTGCGCTGATCCTTTCCCATGATCAAAACAAATCTTTCCTGATTGGGTCATAGGTGCCTGCTGTTTTCAATGGCCTTGAGGAGTCCTAACACCAAAGCAGAGCATGGACAAAACTGACAGGACAAGGGGCAATGGCTTTAAACTCAAAGAGGGGAGATTTAGATTAGATACTAGGAAGAAGTTCCTCACTATGAGGGTGGTGAGACACTGGAACAGGTTGTCCAGAGCAGTTGTGGCTGCCCCATCCCTTGCAGTGTTCAAGGCTGGATGGGGCTTTGAGCAACCTGGTCTAGTAGAAGCTGTCCCTGTCTGTGGCAGGGGTTTGGAACTAGATAAGCTTTAAGGTCCCTTCCAACACAAACCATTCTGGGACAGAGGGCTCAAAAGCATTGGCTTTTGTCTGTGTGGTGTCTTCATTTCTTCATCGCATCTCAAATCCAGCTCTGATAGCTCTTGATACCATCTTGATAGTACTGTAGGACCATCATCACTGCTACCCAGCAAGTGTGGTTTGTGTGCAGAGAAAAGCACATGTTTATTGCAATGAACAGGGTGGTTTGTTTTTTTATGAGTTACATTTTCAGTGGCATCTGAGTCCAGTTCTCAAAAGTGATGTAGGCTTTTAAGAGACCAAAGCCAAGATTTTCATAAATAAGTAATGATTTGGGCTGCCTCCCTTTTCTGTTACACAAGTTGAGATGTCTAAAAGGAGCCTGGTTGTCAGCAGTTGTGGAATTCTGGCATTTTTTCAGAATTGACATGCTTTTAAAATATCTTAAGCTGGGCATTCAGAAATGGAGGCATCAAGAATGATTAGCTGCTTTTGAAAACCTGTTTCTTAAAAGTTTGAATGAAAATCGCTATGATTTTCATTCTAAATTACATGTTAAAAAGTACTAAAGGTGTATTTTGGAAGTGCCTATCTGCGACTACACTTGTCCCCAGAGCATCTGCACTATTATATATTAATGTACTCACAAAAGCTGAACAGTGAAAGGGAAATGTATCACTACTGTTCTGAATGGATGGTAGGTTTGATGGGCTTCTCCAGGGTATCAGCCTGTATCCATTTTGGTTTGAAGATGAAAATAGCAATGGTTTTGCAGGTATCACCAATAACCTGATCAGGAATTCTGACCTACTGGGGAAGAAAATACAAGTTTATGTTTTAATTTCTATACATTAGGACCAATATGTTTAAAGATAAGTGCGTGCAAGTTAAATATGTTAAAAGGTTTTGTAGATTTGATTTTATAAACCCGCAAAGTAGTAGGTTTGCAACTGTATTTCCCCATCCTAAATTTCTAATATACTTGTGACTCTCATCATCTCTTCTCTCAGATCTGAACCATGTCCCACCCGTCCTGGCTGCCACCCAAGAGTACCAACGAGCCTGTTGGTCACATTACTGCAAGGATGGAGACCACACACACCTTTGGGACTCCCAGCATCTCGGTGTCTACCCAGCAGACACCAAAGAAGTTTGCGCCTGTCGTTGCCCCCAAGCCAAAGTACAATCCATACAAGCAACCAGGAGGTGATGGTATGTATTTATTATTTTTAGGAAGGAACCACAGCAGTTTGATTCTGACTGCTAACATAGGCTGTTCTTGACGTGTTCTTTGTTGATCTGTTTGTGGGAGCCTACTGGTTTGATTCAGGGTTTTTTTTTAACCTTTTCCCTCTACTATGGAACACTCTTGAATATGAAATAATGCTGAGGATGTTTATGTAGCCATCACAGAAGCCTTTGGAGTGGTTATGTCAAGAGAACAACCACCATGTCTCAGCTTTCCTTGACCTCCTGCTATAGAAGTCCTCCTCTCTTCACATAAGCAACAAGTGTGGGTGTTGGGTTCTTGGCTTGTGCACATATGGAGGGAGGGAGCACAGCTGGGGATGCCTCTGGGGTTTGCAGCTCGAAACCTGCCAGTTGAATGCCCCTAGCTGAATGTGGAGAGTGTGTGATGGGACCTTCCTGCAGCAAAACGGTGAAAGACAAGGATTTTAGGATAGTAGTATCTGTCTTAGCAGAGTGGCCGCTTTCCTTTTCTTGGTCGTTTACTGTGGTTAGAAATCGGTGGAAAACTTTCTCTCTTCTGCTCTCCCTCTTCCTCCACAAATGAAATCTTGGTTGTATTCAAGAAAATAGGCAAACCTTTTGATGTTTGGTTTTGGATGCTCTGCTTCATTCCATCACCACTTTTCCCTATTTAGTGTAGAGTGCAGTAAGATAATCTGTTTTTTTTTGTGGTTTTGTTTTTTTTTTTCCCCCTTTTAAAGCATATGCATTTTCAGGAAGATTACAGAGTTATGGAAAGGAGAAAGAACAATAAACGAGCATATTAAATCTCAAACTTGAGCAATTTTCTAATGTTAAGGACATTTTGTAGGAAAGTTGGAAAAGTCTGACGAGTTCTTTCCTCTGCAGCTCTAACTTTGGAGAATTCAGAACGAAAAAAGAAAATGTGTTGGAGGGAAAAGCGAAGTCGTATGCACCTGTTCTGTTGCCTTCAGTAACAAACTTAGCGAGTAAGAGGAAGAGAAAGACATTTGGAATTAAAAAAGTAGAAAATCCATTTTTGAAGTGCAGTGAGAATGTCACCATCAAGTTAATTGGAATTTCTTATTCTTCTAATTCTCTTTAAATTTAAAATAATAATGAAAAATGACATTAGGGTTGGTTTGTTGTCCTAGGAAAACCGTTGTTGATCAGCTGCTATTTTTCTTGATGAAAGATGTCAGTATGCGTTAGTTGTCACTGCTTTGATGATTGTAGATCTGATTATATGTGACTTAGGAACATTATCACCATCTAAAAAATTCTTAGTTTCTTGGCATTTGGGGAAGGAGGCTGTCCTTAAGAACAGAGCAGGGACTGCAGGCTGAGAAGGGGAGATGCGGCACACATATTTCTCATGCAACCCTGACTACCTGGTCCTGCAAGCAGCAGAGCATTGCCAGGTCTTTTATAAAACAGAAGACATCAGAAGCTCGCAGGGAGACTTTTTCAGTGCTAATCCCTTGCCTTGTCTGATGCTGGGCTTTTGGAGATTCCATCGTTATCTGACAGGACTGGAAGAGCTAAGGGTTGGCCAAGACCTGGTCAAGGACTGGCTTAGTGATGCGACAGCCTGCCTGCAGCTTAAGCTAATCCACTTTCACAAGGCGACACACTGCTGGTAGGTGTCAGCAGCTGGTGCAAAGCCATTAGCCCAGCCATATATAACCCTGAGAATATGAAGCTTCTGGGATCTGGCAGGCAAGAAGGGGACAGTGAGAAAATATTTAGTCCACCATGCTTCATTCACTTTCTAAGGCTCCCTTCTCCCCTCCAGGCTCCCTAATTGTTTGGGTTTTTTGTCCATTACCTCTATTGTTTTTGCAGTAATAATTCAGCCTGAGAGACAGCTCCATGCCCCACTGGTTCCCTGCATAAAGGGGCACTGTGAGTCATTTTGCCTAAATTTGTTCTCTGTTGGTCACAGGTCTTTCCCATCTGGTTATCTGTGAGTCTGTAGGTGGAAGAGCTGCAGCATCCCCTTCTACCTCGGTGTGTTTTCATCCCTCCTGTCCCACCAGAGCTGCTTCACTGGAGGCATGTGGGCTTTCCGCCCAGCATGTGGGTAGCACACAGCGCAGCATCCTTCTGCCAGAGATGAGTGCAAGCAGCAGCACTGCTCCTGGGAAGTGCTGTCCCAGGGCTGCAGTGGGGCAGAAAGCATCTGTGCATATCAGAGCCTGGCACAGCCTTGCCTGCCCCAGCCATGTCGCTGGAGTTGGTTCATTGCTACCAGAGGCTGCAGGAATGGTGTTTGGTATCTCTCTGGGAGGTCAGCAAATTCCTTTCCCATTAATTTCTTCAGCTCATTGCTTTTAATGTTTGGGAAAATGCATCCTCTGGCCTTGCATTTCTATTCTTCTTCTTCTTCTTATTATTATTATTTTTATTTTTTTTTGTAGGTATGTTGGTAGCACGTAGCAGATCTGCCCAGCTGATCACATTTTGTGGTTTTATTTCTTGATCACATTGAAAGCACACTGGAGTTACAGGCTGTGGAGCAGACTCTGTGCACAGTGGAGAATTGGCTGCACACCCCTCTCCTCCTGCCTCCCACCAAAGGCATTTCTTTGGTCTCACCTTGACTTTGATTTTATTATTTTTTTTTTCCCCTAACATCTGCACAGAAATCAGCCAGAAGGTGTTGATTAAAAGGTACTCAATGGAACTTTAAAAGAAATGGTTAAATGAATGAAAAAAAGGTGAAATTGCAGCAGCCAGCAGTTTATAAACCAGCAGCATTTTATTATGACTGGAAGCACTCAAGGCATGCATGGTTTAGACCAGCTAAATGAGCAATTTTCATAGTGCTGTGAGCCCCTCTCTTTGCTATTTGCCATGGTGACTTGCTGCAACTTGTTTCAAACTAGATTTCTCAACTTATCAAAGCAGAGATTCTGTCTTGCTGTTGCAAGGCTCTGTTTGGAGGGCCCCAGGTATGACTGCAGTAGTAGTAGTAATGATAATAATAATAATGATCAGTAAGACCACAGCTCTGATTAACATTCTGCACAGGTCTCTGCCATTCAGCTAGCTGAAGAGGCAGGCACAGCTGTGTTTTTATAGGTCCTACAAACACTGGACCAGACGTCCACGTGCTGTTGTCTGGGCCGGGTTTCTGGAGGATTTACAGTTAGCATTCCCCACTGTGACAGTTTCTGGGGGATTAACCTTGCCTGATCCCAGGAGGCATGAACACTGCAGTCCCCAGGACATGCAGGTTTCTGACATCTTACACAGCTCTGTATTCATCACACAGAGGGAGGAGAGCTGTATATGCTTGGGGAAGATGGTTTTCTATAAGATAAACAAGTGTGCATGGGAAGGAAGTGTAGCTGCTAGTGAATTAGGCTGGAAATCAAAATTAGATGTCCAGACATTTGAGCAGTGGCTCTGAAAGTGTAGAACTGGGGCCAGGGATGGTCCTCGGTTGGAGCTGGATGTATTTGGAGTTTGAGAGCATCTTCTCTTTGTGCTGGAAGGAGAAGGGTCCTGATATATATGTTACATCATCCAGCCATGGGTCCTGACAGTCTGTTTCTTATAGTTGGCTTCTTTCTCTATGTTCACGTGTTTGGTGCTACCTGCCTCCTCCCTCTATTCCTCAGCAGACTCTCTCTGAAAGTGTGGTCTTGTTCTCTGTACTCACTGAGCAGAAAATCTTTTAAGCAAATTAATACCTTTTTCTGGGGAGACAGTATTAATTTCATTTTCTTTAAAATCATGGGATGCCCCAAAGGTCAGGTTAGACAGGCTTTGATCAACCTGATCTAGCGACAGATGTCCCTGACAATGGCATGGGCATTGGATTAGGTGATCTTTGAAAGTCCCTTCCAAATTTTTTGTGATTCTATGGATGCCCTACCTCCTTTCCCTGCCACATATTCCTCTCTGGCTCTCTAGCTTTGACATTTAAATTGGTCTTTCAACATCTTCAACAGAACTGGGGCCTTGGGAAAGTGTTGCCACACGGCTGTTCCCATCTCTGCTGGCCTCAGGAAGGTGGAGAGGATTTACGGCTTACAGATGAAGCAAATTTCCTTTTCTTCTTTTCCCCTAGTCCTGGAAAACAGGGTCTCACCCTCCAGGGCAGACTAAGGAGGCATCTGGTACAGAATGAGGTTGGTGATGGTTGATCCACTGGCTTTGTGCATGCTGCCATGGGTCTGGTGGTGATGGGGCTGGTGTGAGTTTGCAGGCTTTGTGTTACTGGGAGGACAACTGGCAGCTCTGAAACAAATGCTGCTGGGGCAGGGCAGCTGGGATGGAGTGCGGGGTATATGCACTGGGATGGTGCCGGGGGTGAGGCCCTGCCTGAGCTGCTTAGAGAAGCCTGAGTTAGGGCTCTTTAGACCATCAGATGGCTTGAGCATAGTGAGTGGCAAGCTTTGCAGTGTTTGGATACTTTTAATTTTGAGCTAGTTTTCAGAGCTTCAAAACCTCTTTTCCCCTTGCCTTTCCCCTTCCCCTCCAAATGGAACTCCTCAGATACGAAGCAGTGCAAGTCCAGGAGAAAACACACTGTGGTGATGCAGGTGGAGCCCAACTAGTGAGCCCTGGGAGGCTGCTGCCCAAAGTCCCCTGAGTTGCAGGGTTGGGCTTTCCAGTCCAGCATTCACGGGCTCTGCCGCAGCTACCTGCAGGTTGAATATGCCTCCTCTGCCATCATGCGTAATCATTTGAAGGGTGGCAGGGTGAGGAGCAAGTCTATCCTCACTTACTGAGAAATGCCAGACATTGCTTGATGACCATAATACCTGCAGCAACAGTTAATATGGATTTAATAATGGAAACTAAATGAAAGGACAGGAATCAAAGCAAGTTCTTGCTTTCTCCTTCCTTTCCTTTGGTGGCTTTCAGATATGGTGAACAACAAGGCTCGTGTGAAGGCCTTTGAGGCTTTCATAATGTTGTCTTTTTGTTGTTTGGGTTTTTTTTAAACCCATCTCTTTCCATTTACTTCGGTTGAAGGACAAAGCAAG